TCGTAGTTAATAACGCTTTATTATATTTTATTTTTATAAGTGAAATAAACGTAAATTAAAATAAAGTATATTAAATTAAAAAATATATACTATAATAAAATGCTTTAAATATTAACAGTATTATTTATAAAGAAATAAGCTGTTTATTTAAGTATTAATTAATTATAATAATTTAACGAGATTTATAAAAAATTTTAAGTTAAATAGTTAGCAAGCTTGATAATATATTAAATTAGTTTTTTATGATTTTATTATTAAATATAAACCGGGCAAGCGAAATAAAGCTAATTTAACCTCGCGTTGCTTTAATTATATATAATAAAAATATAAAATATTTAATTTATTTTTTATATTAAAAAAAAAGATTATAGTTATATAAGTTTTTATAAAAAAAGTATATTTAAAGATATTAGTTAATAAAATATACGTTATTTGCTAGCTAATTATTTAATAAGTATTTATATAAATAATTACGCGTAATGAAATATAAACGGCTATAAATATAAAAATAATTAAGAATTTAAAATTATTAATATTATTTTAAGATTTAATTTAAAATATTTAATAAAAAAACCTTAAATATTGAGTGAAATATTATTAAATTTAAAATAGCTTTAATAATATATTTTAGTGGTTATTTAAAAGATTTTTATTATATTATATAAATAAGGTTTATATATTTTTAAAAAAATTTATATATTTTTAATTAATTAAACTATATTATAATGATTTATTAATAAGGTATTTTAGTTAAAACCGAATGTTTAATTTATTAGCACGAAAGTTTTATTAAAAAAATATAAGATATAATATAAGCGAGTATATAAAATATTATATAATTTACCTTAAAATAAAAGTAAAATATTACCGAAAATATAACGAACTTAATATATTATTATTATTTAATAAACTTATATAAAAAATATTAATAGATTTTATTATTAGATTATTAAAAATATTTTATAATAAAAAATTAATTAATATAATATTAATTATTGTTGATCGGTTTATTAAAGTTATATATTTATTTTTAGTTAATACTAAGATAATTTTAAGTGCGCTAGTAAAACTATTTTATTAAAAGATTAAATATAAATATAATAGCTTAATAAAAATAATATTTAATTAAAGATTAATATTTATAAATAAGTTTTAGTTAAAGTTATATTATTATATTAAAATTAAATAATATTATTTAGTCGCGTTTTACTTTAAAATTAATGGTTAAATAAAGTAAATAAATTAAATAATTAAAGTATATTTATAATATTTTATAAATGCCGAAAAAATAAATTAACTATAATTATATTATAGACTTTATATATATTTTAAGATATATATAATGCACGCGGGGGTTTTTAATTTATAAGTAATAATAAAACGGTTAATAATTAGTTTATAAAAAAGGTTTTACTAGTATTTTTATTATTATACTAGGTATATTAAATATAATAGTTACTTTTAAGTATTTAAGGTATATTATAAATATAAGATTTTAAAAGTTTATGATCGAAATAAAATTAATAGCTAAAAAATAAAACTAAATAAATGATTAAATATAAAAAATTATAACCATTATATAAGCATAAAAAATAAAACACTTTTAAGTGCTAAGACCCTCTAGATTTATTAGATTTAATGGATTTATAAATTATAAAGATTTTATAAATCTATATTATATGATTTTTCTTTAAGAGCATTAACGCTTAAGCGATTATTTAATAAAAACTATTACATGTTTTTTTTTAAGCTTATCCTACGATTAATAATAAAGTGCACTTTATAATAAATTATTATTAATAATATATTATATAATGAATTTAATATATAATATATTTATAAGTAAGTTTTTATTTAAAGTTTTATTTAAATATATATTAAAATTCCGTTTATTTATTAAAGATAATTTTATATTAAAAAAAATATTAATAATATAAAACTATTTAAATAAACTATAAATTTTTCGCGAAAAGTTAATAAACTAATAATATATTGTTAATAATGTATATTAAAAGTATTATAACCGGAAATATTAGTTAAAAATATATAAAATAAATTAACTAGTTATATTATTTATTTAAAACCTTAAACTTAAATGTTTTAAATTATTATTTAAGTTTATAAGTTTATTTAAAATATTAAGCTAAATTAGTTTATAAGTATATTACTTTATATTTTTAATATAATATAATTATATTTATAATATATTTTTAATTTAATTATTAAAACTTTAAAATATAAGTACGCACGATAATTTATTAATATTAAACTTTAAAGATAAAGATAATAAATAAAAAGTAGAAGATATAATAAGATAATAATAATATAAAGGCAAATTATATTATAAAGTTAAGTAGAAAAAATGGTTTTTAAAATATAATTAATGGGTGTTGGCTATTAATATTATAATATTAAAAGTTATTAAAGTATTTAAAAAACGTTAAAGCAAGAAAAAGAAAAAATATTTTTATATTAATAAAAACTAATATTAACTATTTTAAATTTAAAATAAAGCTTATTAATATATATATTAAAATATTAGCCTTAATTATTGTTTATTTTAATAAAAACTTTAATAATATTATATATAATTGATTTTTATATTTATGTAATGAAAATTAAATTTATATTTTAAGTATAAAAACTTGCGCTTAATTATCGAGCTTTATGCGAAAAACGTGCGATTTAACTATTTTTTAAAGGAAAAAACGTTTTAATTTTTTAAAAAGCTTTATAAATTTTTTTAAAAAGTTATATTTAATTATTTATATATAATTTTTTTAATTTCGGCTTAAAAAATAAAAATAATAATATATTAAGCAGAGAATTTTTAATTTAAATATTAAATACGTAAGGAGATTTAACAAAAATAAAAAAACTATATATTATAATTTTAAATTAATTAAAATATATTTTAAACTATATATAAATTATAGGTAATTTACTGCGTTAATAAAAAAAAACTAATATATAGCTTGATAAAATATATAATAATTATAGCAAATTTTTTTATAATTTATTTAAAGGTTTTAAATATAATATTAAAATATAAACTATATAAAAAACCGATATAAATTATTTTAATATTATTAATTTTGCTAATAAATTTAAATAAAGCGCGATAAATTAATAAAAACTGTAGAAATAATTTTAATAAATAAAATTATAATATTATAATTTAAATATAAATAAGCTTTAAAGTACGCGCGATTAATTAATTGTTTAAATTTAAAACAGGTTTTTTATTATTATTTAATTTAAAATTAAAAATAAAAGTGTTTTATTTTACGAGTTTATAAAAATAAGTTATATTAAATTAAATTATAGCCGAAAATTAAGTTTAATTAATATAGTAAAATTAATATAAAATAAAAATAAATATATTTATAAGTTTATAAATATTATATCTGCTTATATAAATAAAATAAAACAATAACTTAAGATTAAAATAATTATATTTAAAGATTATAAAAAAAGTTTTAATAAAATTAAAAGCTTTTTTTGCGCGGCCGAAATATATATAATATATTTATATATTATAAACGAATAATAAATTAGCCCGTTAATTATAATGTTTATTTTTGGTTTTATTTAAAATTTTTTATTGTTTTTTTTTACGAGATAACGCGGTAAAGATATAATTATTAATAAAAATATTTGCGAATAAAATATAATTAATAATATTATTAAATAAAGTAATATATTTATTTTAAATATTAATAATAAAGGTAATAAAAATAATAAAAACAATAAAAGCAATATATATAGCAAAAAAATTAATGCTGAAAAAATTATCGTTGATAACGTTTAAGTTTAATTTATTATTATTATTATTTAAATCGATAAAAAAAACAGTAAGCTTAAAAATAAATATTTATAGTTTTATAACTAAATTATACTTAAAATTATTTTAATTTTTATTTAAATTAAAAAAAACAATATTATAAGTATAAATATTTTAACGTTATAAAGTAAATATTTTAAAAATATTACCTTGTCGGGCGTTATTATATTTATTATAAGTCGCGGCGGCCGGGCAAGCTTTTTTAGCTAAAGTTTTTTTAGCCGGCGTTTTTTTAACCAAAGTTAATTTTTTATTAAAAGCTATAAAAAATAAAACAAATTAAATAAAAATAAATAATAAAAAATAAATAAATTAAAAAAGTAATAATAAAGAATATAAAAGCTAAAAACTAAAGATTTAATAGCAGCTAAAGAAAAAAAAAAAAAAAAAAAAACTAAAATTTAATTTAAGTAAAAATTTAATATTTTATTATAACAAGCGTAAATAATAAAATTTTATTATAAAAACAGTATAAAAGCGAGGCGATAAATTATATTAATATAAAAATATTAAAATATTTAATATATTATATAATATTTTATTATATAATTATTATTATTTATTAATATATAATTAATTTTATATAATAAATAAGCTAAAGCTAGCTTATATAAAAAAAAAAAATAATTATTATATATTAATTATAAAAAATATACTTTATATAACTATAATAGCATGGTTAAAATATATAAGATAAATATATATACGCACTTTTCTTAGAAGTGGTTCGACTTAAATTTTTTCCTTTTTTAAGCTTTAGTCTTATAATATACCGACTATCGTTTAAGACTATTATACCTAACCTAAAGAACTTTTTAATTATCTTAACAAAATCTATATCGCTTTGCCGCTTCAAAAAAAAATCAAAAAAAATTATTCCCAATAATAATATTCTATTCTCTTTTTAATCCTTATTTTTTGGTATTTTTAATAATTCTTTTGACCCAGTTGCAGTGCGTTGTATATGTTGAGTTCTGGTGGAAAAGTGGGCCATGCACAAAGACTTTTACGCAGTGGCTGTAGCAATGCCTAGCTATCCCACATCAACAGGTGATAAACCCTCCTGCCTTTACCTAAGCTTACGTAGCCGATTCATTGCACTGCAAAAAATGAACAACTTTGAGCATCCATCATCTGCTTAGATAGCAAAACGTATTGATGAGAGTGGGACTCGAACCCACGCGGATTGCTCCACTGCGAAACTCATGATATCTTGACAATATCAAGTTCAGGTTTACCTGAACGCAGCGCCATAACCACTCGGCCATCTCACCTGAGAGCTCTAGCAGGCTATCAGATACTATGACTCGTCGCTTTTGTGACAGTCTCGTCGGACATCTCAATTTGAACTCTAACTCAGGCGCGATGCTATTCATCAGAAAGAAATGAATACTGTGACCATGCCTCGGTAGGTTGAGTGAGAGTATCACTCTTATTGGAAAGTTGCAGCGAACTACTCGGAATTGTCACAGATGCGAGAGACGAGACCTGTCTTAGCATCAAGCACCAAGGTCCAGTTGGTCATACTCTTGAATAGCGAAGTCGAGCATCAAGAGCGGCGCTTTAGAGGCTCCTCGTCTCTCCGCCCTCCGAGGCGGCTAATGCCTAAGATCCATTGAAGTAGACAGGAGAAATCGTTCGATCTTCTTCTATTCTACGTCGTCGTCAGGATTCGGCTTCGACACCATGGTTTCTCCGTGATTGCGTGGGGATAATGAAAGCGTGCTCAACTGTGCCGTGTGTGTTTCAGGTGAACGCTAGTGTTCTATAGAATTCGAAATGCTAGAGGAAAGAGTGCCATGAACGAGGGTTACACTTTCCTGCCGACGTTGTATTCCACAGTACTAATGGATATGGCGAACTGTAGGTATGACCAAACGTTTCTTCTACAAACGCTAGAGCTTCGACTTGTGAGATTCACTATTGCTTCACTGTCCATGTTTCCTAGTGATTCCCTACTACTAAGTCATCGAGGTCATGAACAGGTTTGATGAACCGGCAATCTTCTCTCTAATATTTTTTTCTTTCTTTTTTTATGCCTTGCCTCTGTACGATGCGTTTACCCCGCAACTACCAGTCGTCAAAGGCAGCAATTGCAGCGCCATAGGCCATGACGTTTTGCTCCCAAGAAGCAAGTTGTTGCTCAATATCTTCGTCGGATATCTCGTGATGGAGATTCTATCTTGTGTGTCGGCTCATAGAATGTTCCGGCGCCCAAACCTCCAAGCATATCCCCCAGATTGGCATGTAAATCATGGAGAAACTCCTAGACAACATGGTGGCAAAAGGGATTTCATCGACGAAATCTGACACGCAGAACATCTGCTCATCACTGCGAAAATGTCGCTCGCTGGTGTGCTGATTGGCAACAATGGGCAGGAATGATTCTCATGCGCGTGCAGCTCCGTTCATGCTCTGCCCCAATCCCGGCCACCTTGGCTGCGCACGGATGGGGTAGAGCCTCTTGCCCTTTCTCTTCCCACCCTCGACCGCGTACATGCGACAGCCTAGACTATTCAACCGGCCCTTTTTTTCTCGGCAACGAGGTGTGCCAGGCACACCTCTGGTTGTTCTACTATCATGAGCAGGCTCCTAGGTCAGCTCAATGTCCAATCAAGTCACACACGGGCCCAAATCCTTTTGTCAAAGTCGTCTCTTCTAAGCTAGCTGTTCGAGCATGAACTCTGCCTTGAGGTTCGCCACTATCTATCGTCTGATCTTCATTATTAGGCTTTTGATGCTTTTCGTCCCATCTTCAAGTCCCTCTTCGGGTGCACCCGTACTCTTGCTCATGATCCAGATCGTAATGATTTCAGGTTTGACCACCTGATGTCAACAATCCAGGGTCTCCACGGAGAACTCCTAGTCTGTTGAATTGGATATCGTCAACCTGAAGCTGCAACATACGGGACGGCTATCTACGATCTCGCCACCAAAAGAGTGAACTATCTCGTCAAAGTCCGGTATCTTGAGTGGTGATTCAGTTGCCTCGACCTCCATGTCCGTAATCTGAACTAGCGGTTTCGAATATCCGTTGATATCATGTGAAGGTAACCCAAGCGGCATAGGCACTTTGAACGAACAGACCTCGAGTCGACTTGCACCTTGGAGTATCTAGTAGTATCATTCGAGCCCGGCCATGTGGCGATCCGATCCGATCCATCTGACACATAAGGCTGATTTATCCGGTCGCCCTTCTGATGCCGTTCGGAAAGTTCAACTAGTCCAACACTTGGTGTAGATCATCTTCAAGCGGCCAGCAACTTGTATTGTCGTGTTCGCCTTCAGGATTGCTATACTACTATATCTGAAGGCTTAGCCCTCTCGCTATGAGCTTAAAGGAAGGATTAATTTTGAATTCTTTTCTCTCTTCCGTCTGTAGCGTTTAGCCAGCTACTACAGCACGCTCTGTTTCCGTGGCACAATATCTCAACATGTGTGTGTTAACGAGCGACAAGCTTCTCATGGTCGAAAACAAGACGGTAATGGCTATGCCATCTACTGACCCATTTAGCTACTCCAGTACCGAACAGAACCTAGCCATAGGGATTATCATAGCCATGGTAGCTCTTGCCTTTGTTGTACTGTGTGTAAGAGTGGCTGGCAGGGTGTCATCTCACCAATTTGCGCTAGGTAAGCAATTTGCGACGTGTTTCGAATAAGAAGCTAATATGTCGAATAGACGATACCTTGGTATGCATAGCCATGGTAAGCGGCCGCCAGCTCCTGATTGCCGGTGAATATGGCGAACTGACGAGGTGTGATCTGTAGGTATTGTCGATACTGGAAACAGCAGCGAGTTATATGTGTCAGTCTTGAACGACGCGGAGATCAAACGTTAGTAATGTTGCTGACCTATTCATAGTTATCAAGACAAATTTCATAGGAATCAGATGGGAAGATATTCCGCCTCACGATCCGATACCGGGTCTGGTATGGAACTATGCGATTGAAATTCTGTACAATCCGATCTTGGCCCTAGTGAAAACATCGATATTGCTCTTTCTGCAGCGTTTATTTGGTCAGAGGCCAGGCGTGAGGCGTTTCATCCTGTGGATGAACGCGGCCAACATCGGGATGATGATTGCGGTCTTCTTTGCGACCGTACTTCAATGCATTCCTATCAACAAAACCTGGGAGCTTGGTCTGCAAGGGACGTGCATCGATAGGAGAATCCTATTCACAATCTCATCCTCGTTTAATATCGTCACCGATATGCTCATGCTTGCACTACCATTGAGGATATTCATTAATTTGAAGATCCCAAGACGTACGAAAATCGCTCTGATGTTTGTCTTTTTGTTGGGATTTCTGTGAGTGTCCACGGGATATTCCCATTCATGAAGGAATAGGGCCGGGACTAATGGCTCTTGCGATCTAGAACGACCATCACGAGCATCGCCCGACTTGTGCTCCTCGTACAGGGTCTGTTCATGCTGAGGACGAATTTGAGCGCCGACGCCAATATCGGCTTTGTAACGTCCGCGATTGAGACGAACCTCGCGCTCATTACGGCCTCTGCACCGGCGCTGAGACCACTTCTTCGGACATGGTTCCCCAAGATATTCCGCGTTGATCGCGACGAGGTAGTCGGTAACACGGAGCGTAGGGTTCTGGGCACGGCAGCAACGCGGATGACGCGGCTCAAGTCACAGACGCAGCTTCAAAGCCAGAGCCCGCGGAAGAGCGAGGAGGCGATCATGACTTTCAACGGGATTGTTAAAAAGAGCGATATCATTATTCGATACAATCCCCCGTTAGACAGCTTGCGACCGGCCACTGCTCCGCAAGACCTCGGGAGCCAACAGCAGGTAGAAAAGTGGATATAGGACCTGCGTATCCCTACCTTCCTTCTACGGCTCGGCTCTCATTGAAATGCCTGTGGAGAGCCGAACAACTATTCGGGTTATGGTTTTCTGGCGTTACTTGTGGAAGACAACGATTCTTTTCTGGTGCGCATCTATATGGTTCTTAGCAATTTGGCGTGTGAGGCGTAGGGGTTTCTGTTTCAGTGCATCAGAACTTCATTCAAAAATTGTATGTATGCATTTATCCTCTTTCCTAAATGCACTTGTCTAATATCAATCCATAATGCAAAGTATATGATTCAAAATGAAAATGTCCATCCAGATCGAGCATCGCACGTCACCGTCTTTTCGTAGTGCAGTGTAGCTCAAAATATCAGTTATCTACTAGAGGAAAATCATCCTGAATCGCGATCGTGACTAACGATGACCTGAGAGAAATGCAGGCCCTGTCTCAGATACGGACGATCTCTATCGTCGGCTCCGGGCCGGCCGTGCATCTCCTCTCGAACACCCGGGATTTTTCCTGGATGATTATTCGATCATTCCCCTATGTACATATTAACCACACTCGACCCTAGAAATACTCTACTTCAACTGTCTGCAACATAACTAGAAATTTCTAAGTCTTTCCAGGCCCATAAAGATTTAAATTCCGATCCCCACCATATAATTCGATTTTTTTAATCGTACTTCAGATCATTAAAGTAGTAGAGTTCTGGTGGACGAGAGCCTGTGTGTGGTTTAAGTATGCACCGACGACTATTCGATGCACCAAAGTGCCCAGGTGTCGACGGTGGAGAAATCACATGCATGATGATGAGTGTAGGCCCTTACATACACGCCTATCTACCTATCTGCTGCACACGATAGGCCCGTAGAGGCTAGCTGATAGGTCCTTGGCACGATATGTCGTTGCGGCATCCCCGCGGTCCCTGTCGCCCTTTCGATAGATATGATTGTGCTCGAGTAGCGACAAGTGTTACTTGATTCCATCTGTTTTTATTATATCATTTTACTTTTTTACCCGCCGGTCTCCACTGGAAGGAAGAGAGACGGCTATCGGTTGCTGCCCAAAGAGAAGTTGATCTTGCAGCTAATATTTCCGGTCCTTACGAAGAGAACAATATGCTCAACGTTGTATGAACAAACCTTTTGTCTCGTAGCTTATGGATGTAACGGCATCTAGAGATCTCAGAGCACTACTTGTGAAAGGCTTCCCCCATTCTGAATGGTTCACATGGTCAGCCCCTTTGCATATCGTGCAACACATCGTTTTCCCATCTTACCTGATCCCTATTCGTCGGGACACGTACATGATCACGGGGTGTGTGCAGCCATAAGTTCTAGGCCAAAATTAAGTAAAAACGACTGGTAGGTCGAATATGATATGTATGCGCCTATCTCTCGGCAAGATTCTCAATATCTCGATATTGATGCTTCATTGTCAAGAAGTAAACCTCAATGAC